ACAAGGGAAGTGATGTAGTTCTTGTGGTGTCTCCAGCAAAACAGTAAGGACAGCTAATTGCTACTCAGCTTCTCTGAGCTAGCAGGTTTTCACCCCAGCCTTTGACTCTTGAGTCTTAATTGATAAATAGAACAATTGAGACCTAATTTAAACCTACATATCATGTCCAAAGCAGAACCAGGGCCGTGGAACCAGAAGCCTCAGCAGGCTATGGCCTGAGTGGCTAGAAGGGCACTGACTAAGGTGCTATGGGGCCATAGACAAAAATTAAAATATCAGCAAATTCATGTGCAGCTGCTAAGCTGACAAAAAAAAACCAAAAAACATTATAGTTCCTTCATTTATGTGTGTGCATTCTAAAGAGGGAACTCAAACTTCTCACTCTTCAAAGAATACTGTTTTTCAGTAGATTTTTTAATGAACTTGTTACTTTAGGCATGCATGCAGAGTTTTTTGTTTTTTGTTTTTGTTTTTGTTTTTTGATGGAAACCACTTAATATCTTTTGTAGGAAAACTGGCCACTTATTTTTAAACTGAATTCAGCAATGCCTATAGAAGCCCATTCTAAACTTAACCATACCCATAACCCTAACCCAGCCTTATCCCTACAGTAAAACACTAACAGTTACACTAACAATATCCCTAACAATACCAACCATAACTGTAACCCTAACCCAATAAAAATAGTATGTATGATTTTCTCTAATAAGCCACTGAACATGTTTCCTTACATGTAAGAGTGTTTTCTAAAGAGCAAATTCAAAATTATTTGTTATGTAAGAGTACATGTATTTCCCTTGGTTTTAACATGCAAGCTTTTCTTAGGCACATAAGCATAAAAGCTCTTTTGATTTGATCAATACATTTTTCATACGATATATGATATATTCTAATCATGGTTTCCCCTCCCCCACCTCCTCCTACACCCTTTCCACATCCTCATCCACCCAACCCCCTTCAAAAAAAGAAATACCACATTTAAAAGAAAACACCCACTAGGTCTATTAAGATGGACCACAGTTAAGAGCACTCGCTGTTCTTGTAAAGGACCCAAGTTCAGTTCCAAGCACCCACATGTTGGCTTCCAACCATCCATAAATCCCATCCCATGGGGGTTGATGCCTTCTTCTGAGTCTGCACACACCAGACATGTTGCACATACATACATGCAAGCAAAGCACCATCCCAATTAAATAAACACACAAACACACTCATTTATGTATAAATATATCTATATCATGTTGTGTAAATACACAGACCTGTAGTCAGCATGTCAAATACCTGGCTTCACACTTAACATATTGACCATACTACAGATCAGTTTTTTCATCTGAAAAACCTAGTTTGTTAACAATGAACATCATAGACATATAGAGAAGATTAAAAAAAAAAAAAGCTAATACATAGAAAGCCCAAGCATACCCTGGCACAGAGCATGCTCTTATTAGTATATTATGTATTTTTATGTTGCTGTGATAGAATACATAGCAGAAATAACTTAAGGGAGGAAAGACTTATTTCAGCTCATGGTTCAGAAGTTATCAGTTCATCATTTCAGAAAAGGCATGGTGAGAGACTTGGTCTGTGGCAGTGGAAACATGCAGTAACTGTTTGTACATGACACTGATCATAGACAGCTCAGACCTGAAGCAGTACTGGTCTGTCACTCAAACAGCCATCCCCCACTGTCCTACTTCCTCCAGTTAGGCCCCACCTCCTAAGGTTTTACAACCTCCTAAAACAGCATTACCATGCAGAGACAAAGTATTCAAGCACACAGGAGATTTTACATTTAAGCCAAAATAGGAGCCCAGTGTGGTCGCCCAATCCTTTAATTCCAGCACACAGAAGGTAGAGGTAGTCGGGTCTCTGAGTTTCAGGCCAATCAACTCTACTGGTTGGTCGAGGTCTATAGCTAGTTCACGTCAGCCAAGGCTACATAATGAGACCCTGTCCAAAAAAAAAAAAAAAAACTTAACAAACAAAGCAAAATGTCAGCAGGAGACCATATAATTCAATTAAATGTTTACATTTTTGGCACTTGGCTAAAAAAATGCAGCTATCTAAATAAAGGTATAAATCAAGGTTCCTGAAGGAATTAATATACATTTCTAAAACACACAAATGGGACCTACAAGCAATCTGAAAGTGGCACCTTCCTGAAGACTGTTTATTTACTGTACACTTGAGTAGGTTCTCCATAGCTTGCTTCTACTGAGTGAAAGAAAGGAGTAAGCCAATATAAGTGGGTACCAAAACCTAACTGCAAAACACTTTGAAACTTTGTTGCCTTTTGGTTCTGATATTTCTTAAAACTTTTGGTCACCCAGTTTCCAACATTTGTATGCTATTACATGAATGTACATCACATTACATGATAACTATTAAAGAATCTTTTAGGATTTTTCTTTTTATTTATGTATGCATATATGTACATATTTTGTCTGAGTGTATATCACATGCCATACACAGGTATACTCAGGTGCCCATGAAGAGGGCATCAGATCTCCTGGAGCTGGAGTTACAGGTGGTTGTGAGCAGCCTGACTTATGTGCTAGGAACTAAACTCAGGTTCTCTGCAAGAGCAACAAGAGTTCTTAACCTCTGAATCACATCCACATTTCCAAATGAATTTTCCTTTCTTAAAAAAAAAAAAAAGACTTTTTAATGATGGGCGGCAAGTGACACAAGCCCTTAGTCCCAGCACTCAAGAGGCAGAGGCAGGTGAATTCCAGGACAGCCTGGTCTACAAAGCAAGTTCCAAGACAGTCAAGACTACACAGAAAGATCCTATCTAAAAACACACACACACACACACACACACACACACACAAACCAAAACACTTTTAAGCCAAGCATGTTGATGCATACCCATAATGTCAATACTCAGGAAGCTAAAGCAGAAAGATCATGAGTTTGAAGTCTGCTCAGACTGTGTAGAAACTCTGCCTCAACATTAATCAAGGTAGAGAGGGTAGCCCATTTCTTGATTGTTGAATAGCAGATAAAAAAAATTTATTTATTTATTTTTATTTTTAGTAAAGGGATGGGCATGGTGATGCACATTTGTAATCTAGCTCTCAGAGGGAAGAGACAGAAAAATCAGAAATTAAAGGTCACTCCGATTTGTGGTGCACACCTTTAATCCCAGCACTCAGGAGGCAGGGGCAAGTGGATTTGTATGAGTTTGAGGCCAGCCTAGCCTATATAGTGTGATCCAAGACAGTCATAGTTACCTAGCGAGACTTCTCTACAACATGAGAAATTAGAGGTCATCCTGGGCTACACAAGACCCTGTCTCAAAAATAAAACAAAACAAACAGAAAACAACTAAAGAAGAGGGCCATGTTGCATGACAGCAAACGACTATAATTCTACCACTTAGTAAGTTAAAGTAGGAACATTGTACACTGAGAGTCAATTTGGGCTACAGGGCTACATAATCAAGATGCTGTCTCAAAACAAAGAGTCTAAAGAGGGGTATTCTGAACTGTCTTTGGTGCAGAATACTGCCTGGCTCTATGACCTACCTTTTCTTGCTCAAATAAGTTGTGTTAAATGTTGGAGGTGAGAGATGGTAGTTTTGGTGACACTTGCTTAGAAGATTAAGGCAGTAGAACCACAAGTTCAAAGCCAGTCTTATTTATATTAAGGCCCTGCCTCAAGAACCCAAGGGCAAGGAGTGAGTCAACTATAACCCAAACTCATTCCTACCAGGGAAAGAAAAATAAGTACCTGAGGAAAGACAAAATTTGTCTCTGTGCCAGTGGCATCATGGGGGAATGTCTTTCTCTATGCTGCGAATATGTGTTGCTCTGAGTGGTTGATAGATAAAGCTGTTTGGCCTATGGTAAGGCAGCTTAGAGGCAGGCAGAAAATTCAAGGAGAGAGAGAGAGAGGAAGAAGGCTGGGAGAAACGCCAATAAGCTGCCCAAGGTGCAACATGTAATGGGACGCAGGTAAAGCCACGGAACATGTGGCGATACACAGATTAATAGTTATGGGCTAATATAAGATTTAAGAGCTAGCTAGCAAAAGGCTTGAGCCATGGCCATGCAGTTTTAATTAATATAAGCCTCTGTGTGTTTACTTGGGGTACTTGAGTGGGAGAGATTTGTCCTGACCACCTGCAGGCCGGGACACAGGAAAATTTTCAGCAACAGTGGCAAACTAGGCAGCTCACACTGATGAATTTGTTGACTATTCCTCAGGCCTAGAAGGCTGGGATACTTTCACTCCTGGCCCCAATTTACAGGTAAGGTAACTGAAGCATGGAACAGTAATGAAGCCGTTTGCACAATGTATTAGTTTAGTTGGGAACATAGTTCAATGATAGAGTGCCCACCCAGTTTGTGTGAGGCTCTAGGCTCAATCATTAGTATCAGAAAAGGAAACAAACAAACAAGAGCTGCATACATAAACTAGTCATAGGGTGCTTATCCAGCATCTGCATACATACACTAGTCATAGGGTGCTTATCCAGCATACACAGAGCCCTGAGACCAAGATAAAGTTAATTACTATAAAAAAAAAGTTAGATAAGCCCTTGTCCCTGAAGTTGCTAGTTCTTGATTTTTAGCTTTGCCTAAACAGCAGTCAATGGACATCCTTCATCAGAATTATCTATTTGAAAACACCAGATACCTTGGCTAAGGATGTAGCTCCATGGTGGAGTGGAGTGGTATGTAAAGGAAAACCTTTATGTCTGGCTTTAAGTAAAATGTGTGTGTGTGTGTGTGTGTGTGTGTGTGTGTGTGTGTGTGTGTGTGTGTGGCTTTGAGAGTAATGTTTCAGCTAAGCCTTTGCTATGTTTAGGTTAACTAGTAGAGGCTGATAAATTGTTCTGAGACTGTTTAAACCTTGAAGAATAGTTTCTCTGGAGAGTCTGCACTTGGTGCTATGTAAGACCTTGCAAATGCACTGACCTTGGCCCTAAGACACTCCTGGCAGACCTGGCAAGCCATAATCAAAAAGGACTGAGATTTGTGTGGATTGTCATCTCTCATGGGCAGCAAGAGCAAGATGACTTTGGTAACTGGAAACTTTCCCAGCCCCAATTAAGCTTGCAATTGTTTGAATAAAGTTACTAGAGTGAGCTAGCCAGGTAGCCTTTTCCAAGAAGGCTGTACCCCTCTGCTCCTTTAGTAAATGAAGGCTTAGTATCTTGGTGAGCTCTCTCTGCTACGGTACCCATGACCCAACATCAAACAATAGTGGAGTGCTTGCCTCACATACTCAAGGCCTAGTGTTAGATCACCAGCACCAACAGCTACCTGAAACAGCAGAAAAGGTGAATTAGAATCTCCTAAGCTAACATTCCAGGACTGTGCTCCCTAGGTGATTCTTACAGATCAAGATGTCCTACACTAAGAGTACTTGCATAATCATCTTCTGTTTATCACAAGTGAACTTCGAAACTGTTTATTTCCTTCATCTCAATCCCCCAATACTTGTTTGCTTATTGCCTCCCATGTGCCAGTCATTATCCAGTCAAGTTCAGCTCTAATGTGTTTCAGACATCCTGGTAACTTCCTGTGACATCAGAACTTCTAAGTTTGCTGACAGTTGGAAAATGGCTGGATAGATTTAAACACCTTCAAAGGACATAGATTCACAGTTGGTGCTACATTTCCTATCATTTCAGCAGGGAACTGAGAAGTGATATGACAGATGAATGTGACCACATGTCAATGCTAATTATTCACATTACTGGTTTTAACTGAAGCCTCCGGTACTTTGTTCAGAATTATGATGGCTCTTCTTGGTTTAACTAGAGTTCTGTTTGGTTACTAATAAGGATATGACTTATGAAGCAGATTACCCAACTGTTGAGGCTTCAAATTTCTTGCTTGGGGTTCCCTGCTGCCACATTCCTCCTCCCTCCCCTTTTCTTTGTGTCTCCTGATCAAGAATAACATACTACATCTACTGATGTGTGGCCATGCTGCACTTTTCCCAGCATGCCTAAACCCAATTCCTTAACTCTTCTCAGGAACTTATAAAGACGTTTAGATTGTTCTCCAGAAAGTTCTTTTAAAAACCGATCCTGGCCCTGAGCCAACATTCCTTAACTTCTTATGTAAACTCAATCCTCTGCCCCAGCCAATGCTGCTGCACTTTAATGTCTGTCCTGGGGGTAGGCTGCAGTCGGTTGTAAATCTCCTCAGTAAATGTTTGGGACCGGATCAGGCTGTCACTTGGAGTTTCTTCCTTGAATCAATTTGCAGAACTCTACTGCGTTTTCCCGAGGCAGGCCATCTCTCACATCTGCCCTTAACTGGTGTGCGGCATGCTGGCTGGACGTTTGCCACAAGGGGGCGCCCCCAAGCGCGAGAGCGGCAAGGACCGGGGCGCACCGACAAGCTATACCGGGGTCTGTTTCGATCTTTAGCGCTCCAATTCAGGTTTGCCTCGAACTCGTCATTCTCCAGCGCAGTCTCCACAGAGCTGGGCTCTCAGATCTGCCACAACACCCCGGCCTAAAATCGGAAGTTATGAACGCTTCCAAGATCGAACCTCAAAGGTCCGGGTGACTCCGCCTCTCGACAGCCCGCGCGGAGCAAAGGCCCTTCCCCTCCGCCCCACCCCAGCCAAAGCTGCGCGCGCAGGCACGTCACATGATAGCGCTCAGGGGCGGGGCGCTGTGTCTCCGGGAGAGACGCGTTGCGTGACGGCCTCCGGCCAGCCAATAGACGATCGCAACGAGGGATTTCAAATGTGGCCGCGGTAGTTGTAGCCTGCTTGGCCGAAAGGGAGGCCGAATAAGCTCGCCCGGACTTGAGCGGCCAAGGTACGGTGAGGGACGGGTGGTGAGTGGTGAGCGCCGGGGGACCCGACGGGAAGAGGCCTTCGGCTGGAGGGAGTGCGCAGCCCGCAGAAGGCAGGGCTTTTGCTCTAGCACACATCTTGTACGACTTTAGCTTGCTTAGTTATGGTAGAAAACTTTAGATAGGGCTTTGTTTTTAAAGTATCTAATAGGGGCTGGTGATGTGGCTCGCTGACAGAATTTTGCCTAGCATGCACAAGTTCCTGGTTTAATTCCCTCAGCGCGCGCACACACACACGCACAAACTTTAATTTACTTTGACTCCAACAGTTATTCAATCTGTCTTGCACTCTGACATCTCCCATGCAAATTTTAAAAACTTGGTAGTGATAGCCTGGCTGTCTTACGCAACCCATTCGTACTTTAAAAAGGTAGTTACACTCTCCCTTCAATCTGTCATACATAAATTGGTAGAAATAAAGTGTTAAGATGAGATCTACATTACGTATTTAAAGCCCCAGATATGCATGGAGGAAAATAAGTTCTGGAGAAAATACTCAAGAAAACACTTAACTAAGAGATGAATGAAGATAGTCCATTGTGGTGAAAATTATGTGTACACACTGTAGGTGGCAACAGTTTGCAGTTGTGAGATCTGGAAGTTGTAGTCTAGGATACAAGCTTAACGAAAAGTAGCCTACCATGCTAAAGCATGTCTGTTTTGCTTGAAGCACATTGATGTTTTAATATGAGTACATGCTTTCTTTGCCCTAAATTAATAGCGAAAAGATGCCAAACAGAAACCCAGGTATACATATAATTGCTTCTTAACTAATACTGTAATCCTAAACACTAAAGGTTTGCCATAAACATTGTAAGAAAAGTATACCAAGTGTGTAGCTCACACATGTCCCAGGTACTCAGGAGGCTGAGAACATCAGAGCTCTTAAGTTCAAAACCAGACTGGGTCACATAGCAATACCCTGCCCCAGAATAATAATAAGCAGTTCCCATAAAACATTGTACACCTCCAATGAGGATTTACTAGAAAGTGAATAGTTGACATTTTCTGGAATCATTTACTACTTTCCTATGAAATGGCAGAAGATAAGATCATGTTAGAAACATGAATGACATTTTATAAGATTTTTTTCTTATGATGGGCTTGATTCTAACGTCTATTTTTATTTTTGTTGATTTGTTTTTGAAATGAGTTTTACTATGTAGCCCAAGCATGAATTTATGATCCGAGTGCCTTAGCCTTAGTAGCTTGGATTATGCCACACCACCTGACTATTAATAATATTTTAAAGCTAAAAAATCAAAATTGCCTTTTTTGAAGTAAGTTTACAATTTAGTCTTTACTTAATTCCTTCTTTTTTGAACAGCCTGTGTTTTCATTTCTAAATTTTATATTTGAAAATAACTGAGAAATGTTAATTTTTTTTAAATTCATAGACAAAGATGGTTAAGGAAAGGTGTCAGAAAAAGTCCTTTCAAGATAGTCTTGAAGACATTAAGAAGCGAATGAAAGAGAAAAGGAATAAAAACTTGGCAGAGATTGGCAAACGCAAGTCCTTTATTGTTGCACCATGCCAAGTACCCAGTAAGAGATTTCTGTGATGTCTTTTTATAGCGTTCTTATTTTGTGTGTTAGTGTGGCATTTGTATGTGTAGTGTGCATTCTTCTGTGTGTGGGGGGTGGGGGGTGGGGGGGGTGCTGGAGGAGCCCTGCTATTACTCTCTGTTCTATTCCCCTGCGAAGGGTCTCTTACTGAACCAGAAACTAGACTGGCAGCCAGTCAAGCCCCAGAGATCCTCCTATCTCCACACCCTCCAACGCCTTACCTTCCTTCCTGCCACCCCCCACCCCCCCAGTGATATGGTTACCTGTGTGCATGGCCACACCTGGCTCTTTATATGGGCTCTGGGGATTTGAACTCTGAGCCTCATTGGTTGCTTAGCAAGCATGCCTATCCATTGAGCCATCTATCTCTCCAGCCCATTTTACCTTCTAGGTTTAATTGAAATTTTTATCTTATAGCTAACACTTCTACACTGCTGAAAAATTACCAAGATAATAACAGGTTGTTAGTTTTGGCTTTGGAAAATGAAAAATCCAAAGTGAGAGAAGCCCAAGATATCATCCTACAGCTGAGAAGAGAATGTTACTACCTTGCATGTCAGCTATATACTGTGAAACAGAAGCTAACTTCCCAACAAAGTGAAGAAACTGATCAGGTATGTTCATTACAAAACTTTTCTAGGCAGTTTTGCTGTATGAAGTGCAGCTTTATAAGACTTTATATGGAAAGTATTCTAAGTTCTCTTTGGAGAATCACTTTTTAAAAAATAATTTATTACATTTATTTATTCAGGTGTGTGTGTGTGTGTGTGTGTGTGTGTGTGTGTGTGTGTGTGTGTGTGAAGTTTAAAAGACAACTTTCAGGTGTTATATAGACATGTGACATACATATGTGTACCCTCACATATAATATGTACATAGTAGACAGTGCAGAAAAATAATTGCCTTTCTAGCAGGTACTATTTCTTCTTGGGTGTCGTGCACACCTGTGATCTTGTGATTCCAGAATTCCAAATGCTAAGTTAGAAAGACTCAAAGTTAAAGGCGAATCTGAGCTATACAGTGAGTCCTTATCTCTGAAAGAGATTTTTTAACATTTAGATTACATTTTAAAGATTGTTTTCCTTCAACATTTTAAGTCCTTTTTTCCTCTTATTCCGTCACTTTACTAGAGGCTGCCTATTGGCATCTGAATCTCCCTGTTTTCCAGTGTTTTTAAATAACAATTCTTTTTGTTTTTAATCATATGTGTCTGTGTGTATCTGGGCATATGTATGTTAGTGTGGATGACATAGAGGCCAGAGGCGTTAGATCCTCCTGGAGCTGTAGTTACAGATAGTTTTAGGCCCCTTGAAATGGGTGCTGGGAACCAGACCTGGGTTCTTCCAAAGAGCACCACACACTCTTACTGCTGAGGCAGATCTCCAGCCCCCTACTTTCCAGGGTGTTTGCTGAAATTATAAGAACTAATATTTAGTGGCTACTCAGTGGCATAAACCCCAAACAGTAGGGAGAAAATTCTATTATTGTAGGCCCTTTAATGCCTACTGTCAATGTTTTTCAGTTAAGTATGTTGTTACTAGTTACTGATATGTTCTTAGCATTTAAAAGAAAGCATTTGTTTGTTTTTTTCTGTCATATTATCTATGTGTGTCACTTGTTCTGAACCACTCTATACTTGTTTTTCATTGTTCAAGGTTGATTTCTCAGTAGTAGAGAGCTTAAAGTGCTTTTTCATCTGTATGTTTGTTTGTTTGTGATAAAGTCTTGATAAGTAGTCCAGCCTGGCCCCAAACTCACAGAGATACACTTGCCTCAGCCGTACAAGTGCTAGGGTTAAAATGTGTGGGCCACCATGCTCAGCTTAAGATGTTTTAGATGTTTTAGTATAAGAAGGTTTTCTTGCCAGGTGGTGGTGGTGCACACCTTTAATCCAGCACTTGGGAGGCAGAAGCAGGTGGATCTTTGTGAGTTCGAGGCTAGCCTGGACTACAGATTGAGTTCCAGGAAAGGCGCAAAGCTACACAGAGAAACCCTGTCTCAAAAAACAAAAAACAAACAAACAAACAAAAAAGTTTTTCTTGGCTGGGTCTGTAGCTTAAGGGAAGAACACTTGTCCAGAATGCATAAGGTCCTGAGTTCATTCATCCCCAATGCTGCAAAATTAATTGTGGGAAAAAAAAGTGAAGATTTGGAGCCAGAGACACTGGGTAAAGATGTTAGTCACTTGTTGATGAAAACTTGGCTAACTGAGTCCAATCATTGGGACCCACATAACTTGCTCACTAACATTTCCTAGTAGTTCCTGTGTTTTATAGTCTTTTTTTTTTTTTCCGAGACAGGGTTTCTCTGTGTAGTTTTGGTGCCTGTCCTGGATCTCGCTCTGTAGACCAGGCTGGCCTCGAACTCATAGAGATCCACCTGCCTCTGCTTCCCGAGTGCTGGAATTAAAGGCGTGCGCCTCCACCACCCGGCAAATCCTTGTATTTTTAAGATTTATTTTTAATTATGTGTGTGGAGGGGGTTATATACATGAGTGCAGGTGCCCATAGAGCTCAGAGGCTTCAGATCAGGCAGTTATGAGCCAACCAATATGGGGGCTGCAGACCAAGCAGTGAGTGCTTGGCTCCTAGCCACTGAGCTCTCTCTAGCCCTATAATTAATCTTTTCAATTATATTGCTACTATACAACTAAATATTCTTTTCTCTTTTATCTTGAATAATGAATGTTACTACTTTCAAAGTTAGCTATTTGATATCAAATTAAAAACTTTCTTTCATAAGAGCTCATTTTCATCAGCAGTTTTATCCTGTTTGTTATTAAATCAATGTATGTTGAGTTAGGATCCCACCCCACCCAAGCCGGATGTTCCACAAACGCCTGAAACTCCAGCTGGAAGGGATCTGTTGCCCTTTCTGGCCACATGTGTATACATTCAACAGATACATGCACATATGGAATAAATTAAAAAAAAAATGTAAAATAAAAATAAAACCAGTATGTGTTCATTAAATTCAAAAGTCAATTAAATTTGATTAGGAACTCTTCTTCTTAGTGTCCCATCTGCGACTCACTTTTCTAACAGAAACGTGCAAACCTGCTATGTGTGCTTGTACTTTCCCTATTTTCTCCTGCTCTGGTTAAAAGCTCTCCCCCACCACCCCGCCCCTCAGCATCATATCTCATCTCACCTTCATGAGA